GCAGTTGTTTAGCAGCTTGAAGGCTGGCGAGTTTCTATCCCCAGCCAGTTTTTAAAATGAGCGGCTCCTTCTCAGCGCCCACCTCCCCTGGCTCGCAGACGCCGTTCAACGCCAGGAGGTGCCGGCCGGGTCCTTTCTGCCAAAACTGCGGAAGTGCTTGAGAAAGAAGGTATGTGGCTGCCTGGATATTGCCCTGCTGGAATGAGGGACCCGTGAGCATCACCACCTTTGTAAGAGGATGTAGAGCCAAGCTGTGATGGCCTAATTGGCCAGTTCATTTTAAAGCCAACAATAAAAGCAATTGGCTGTGGCGTGATAAAATCTCCCCTAGCTTATCACCATGCCAATTCCGGTAAAGAAATCACAGCACTTGCAGTCAAGCTGGGGATTAGAGACTGGAGGATTTAACTGAGGAAGATCACTAGGGAAAAGGCAGAGATAGGGGAGCAAGAGTCCCTTATCTATTGCAAGCAATGTGGGCTTTCATGAGACAAACTGATGGATTTGTTTCTCCGGAGGCTGCGGGGAAGAGGAAGAGGCAAAGAGTTAAGATCTGCCCAGGGAGAGGGCACCGCAGAAGGAACCAGAGATCCTTGCTCCTTCCTCGCAGAAGAGCCCTCAGGGCTGGGGTCTCCTGACACTGCTCTGCTCCAGAGCTATCGCAGAGCAAAGAGCAGTGCAGAGCTTGGGACACCCTCCCTTGATGCCTGGCCTGTGCTCGCTGCTCTCCTCCAGCCCAGGGCTGCGGGGTCTGTGCCCTGCATCATCCTCCGTACCCCGCAGGCCTGGCTGCATGCCTGGAGTCACCCGGTCTGCAAGTGACAGCACCCAAGTGTGCAGCACGGAGAGCCCCCGCGTGCTGGGGAGCCTGCCGAGGTACATGGCTGAGAAAATGGCTGGCAAAGGAGCCAGCTCAGCTTTGCTTCCCCAACCGTATTGTCTAGGAACGGGCAGGACCTGTTGTTGGGGTGCTGGGCTGAGCTCTGCTCTTGCAGCCACAGTGCTCCCGTGCCCAGGTGGTAGAGGCAAACAAGAGAGGAGCAGAAGGCAGCGGGGGAAGACAAACGGCCTCTGTTAGCCTCAGAGTAGCTGGGATTGAAGGGTCCCAGCAAGAAAACTGGGACCTTACCTGCAGTCACCAGGCTTTTGAAGGGACCAGGATACCCAAGACGACATGTGCATGCAAGACCAGACTTCCACAGCGGCTCTGCTCCAGGCACGAGCGCAGACCGAGGCCGCAGCAGACGGGCTGCCGTTCTCTGCAGGGGCCGGGGCTCAGCATGGCTCCCCGTGTGCCTCGGAGGCTGGTAGCGAAGGCTCCAGCTCCCCAAAACCGCATGGGATGGCTCCGACTGCCATCAAAGGGAGGGAGAGACGCAAAATGAAGACTGAGGTTTAAAGAAGTGGGGTGTTTCCCCTCTCACAGCAGGAAGAGAAGGACTACTTGAGGAAAGGCACCTGGATGGGGAGGCCCAGTAAGTCTGCCCATTTCTCTCCCCTCGAGCCCTTTCTCTTCCCCTTCCCCATCTTGAAATGGGGGCGACTTTTCATCCCAGCTCTCTGGCCTCTGGGTCTGCAGGCTCTGCCCCACGCAGATTGGCAGCAGTGACCCCGAGGAGGCCACCAGCCCTTGATAAGTGCACCTCAGGGAGGCCTTGCACTGACAAGGGGCTGTTTCACCTCAACAACGTTAATATTAATCTGCTTATCTGCCCTGGCGCTATAAAACACCCAGTGGGAAAAAAATTTCCCACTGCTCTTTCTTTATATCTGCGCTTGCTTATTGCAGGCCTTATCAGCAAACCCAGCCAGAATTTAGGGCAGCAAAGTCACGCAACGGCGCCAGCAAACGGGGCCTCTGGTCCTACACCAGAATCAACATCGCATGTTCACCTAACGGCTTCAGGGAGGGCTGCAGCTGGAGGGAAAGCATCTTTCTACAGGGCTGCTGGGCCAAGTCCATGAGAACCTCTCCACTACCTGGGGATGGTGTGACATGCTGCCGCCGGCTGCCTGGCAGTCCTGGCTCTCTTTTGAATCAGTGAGTTAAGGACTGAGACCTAAACCTGTCTCCAGGATGATCCCAGCCTCTCTATGTTATAGCTGAATGCTGGCTTTAGCATGGCCCCTGTGGCGTCGAGGGGCTTCATGACTAGGTCCCTGCAAAGGTAGAGGCAATGTTTTTCAGCTAACGGATGTCATGGGTTGCGCTAAACCATCCTTCTACGTTTCCTCCAAGGCCCCTGAAGGGCGGCTGGAATATGTCAAAGCTTAGACCTGTCTCTCAAACCATGGCCTGGACCTTCCTGTTCTCACCTTTATTTTTCCTGCAGTATCGGGATTGTGACATTGAATGGTGAAGACGAAGCCCATGTGGCACTGGACGAGGCGACTCCAGCTGGTTAAATGAATTCAAGTGGGCCTGAGGTTGTATCTTTTCAACGTTTCATAACAAAATGGTGACCCCAGATCCAAGGCACCCTGCCTCTTTCAGCCCACTTGAAGTGGCTACATCAGTATCTTTATTAAACCTAACCAGACTTTCTCTTCCACAGAGCAGTTCCACCCGTCAGTGGAGAGCAGAGCAGAGACGGACCTATCCACGCCTGAACTCCAGACACATTTTTACTGACCTGTTATCCTCTACATCCTTTAGTGAAGACCAGATAGCGCCTGGACACAGACTGAAAAGGAGTTGCTCCTTTTCATTTAGGCTTGTTTAACGGGTCTGAACACCTCCCTCCTCTTGCTGGAATCTCCCCAAGTTCTTGGGCAATCGGCTTCCCCATTTCCTTCCCCAACATGCTGTTTCATTTCTCTCTCTTCTTGGAAGTTTTTGTGCAATGCATGATGAGTGATTGGTATTTGGACCTGAAAGAAGCTCTTATTGGTCAGGGGTGGTGGTTATGGTTGAGCAGATGCAGCCCATGGGATCAGATTCAAGCGTGTTGCACTGAATGGTTATGCTTGTTCTTGTATTGTTGGGTGCCAGTTACTGGATTGGCTAAGATGTCTTTGCGTGCAAGCAAACAACTGGTAGTATTGTGATAAGAAGATGAGGTGTCTGGCTCTGCTGGCATGGGTTGACTGAGAGCCAATGTAAACTCAACGGTTTGAGTTGGAGAAGATCTTATTTTCCTTCTCTGCCTCACTGTGAAAACACTGTTGCTCCATCCAGGAATACCAGCAGCCTGACTTTCTTAGCAGCAAGGGACTGCCTGCTCTGCTTGGTGGGCCATCTGACCCCAGTAGACTACAAAACTCATGTTAGGTGCACAGTGGAACTGACGGCTATCACAGTCATGATAAGACACAAACTTTTTGCCTCCCTCCCTGCTCCAGTACAGAAACATCTGGTTACCACAGCGGTGGGCAGAGTGGGAGGGGTAAAGGTGTGCTTCAGGGCTGGCAACGACTATGGTGACGAGAGCTTAAGGAAATATTCCGGAATATTGATCCCTCCAGAGAAGCTTTCCTCCAGCCTGGCTCACTGCCTCCTTCTTCTTTCCACTCTGTTAGGGTGGACTCAGCTCCCACCCCAGTCTAAGACCTGTTTTTTCTTCCCGAGTGAGATCAGTAGCCCAGGCCATAGTTTGGCTCTTACAGTTACGAGCAGGCAAGCCGCATCAGACCGCCTAGGCTTTGCCCTTGAGGTAGCTTTCAGAAGCTTTATCAATAGCCCACTTGACCTAAAAAAACACACTTGCTTGGGATGAGGAGAAGAGAAGTGAAGGCTGGATTTCCTTTCCAAGAGGCAGGATCCATTAGCAGTACATGCCAAGCAAGCCTGTAACTCTGATAACACAAGTGGCTTTACCTTTTTTCATGGCATGTGAGACTCTAGACAGACTGCTGTGATGCTGCTGCCTTTTACGACCCTTTCAACTCATCACTGTCCCATAGTTGTGCAAGTTTAATTTAAAGCCTCAGAGTCAACAGGCCTTAAGGATCCTGCTTTTTTTTTTTTTTTTTTTTTGAAGAAAGCAATTTGATCAGCAGGAGAACAGGCTCTCTGCAAGGTTTTTTATTAGATTCTCAACCGGGAATTAAGTGCGTTTTGAGTTCCACTGTGGACGAAGATAAAGCTCTCCTGAGTGGGATTTTAGAATGACATGAAAAGTCAGCTGGGCAATCATAAACCCCATATAGGAACAAGGGAACAAGCTGTTCTTAAAGGACATGGAGAAGTATTAGCATTTTCCCAAGATTTTCCCCCTGCATTAATATATCCTGGCTACCTCAGTTAGCTCTTGACATTCCCATGCCAGATTATGCTATAATCAAAGACAGATGATGGATTCTACTCTGTTATTGGTTTTTATCCCATGTGATTCTGACCCTCTTGGAGGAGGGATTCATCTCTGCTATGAGAGGATCAGTCTGTCATCTGTTCCAGGTGATGACTTCAGATTTATTTTACTGAGGTTATTTGAAATCACTGGACCTTTATGGGATAAGAAGCTTTCTCCAGGTGAAAAAGAACCTGTTACTGTATCTCTTCTGCTGGGAGTGAGATGTGTAACTTCTTCAAACCCCTGGGAAAATCCTCTCAAATGCCTTAGAGGAGAATAAACAGAAGATACATCTGTAGCAAAGATAAATGTCAACTAGTGAAGACCTGTCCCCTGACTAGTCCAGAAACAGTGATACCGGCTGCACCTAGGTAATGTCATCCACATCTCCACCCAAGGCTTTGGCATCAGTTCAGCCAACTTCTTAATCATGAATCAGGGCCATGGGAATATCTCAGGGGTCATCTGTTCTTCAGCTATTAAAGACTGATATGAAAGAAATACAGAGCAATGAATGGTATTCGGAAAGAAATTTGGTAGTCAGTCTGTTTGTGAGTACATTCCCTTTCCCCGTGGAAGGAGATGGTCCACACACCCCATAAATGTGCTTTGTCAGGCTAAGACTAGGTGTGATGGAATGTCCACCACCAGAAATGTTTGACATTGAAAAATCCAAGACGTGCGAGAAAGTGAGCGAGATAAAAGACAGGATTTTCAATGCGTTCAGTTTATTAGATGGCCCCATAGGGTTCTACCAGAGCCAGTTTTACTGCAAGTGCACCCAGGCCTTTGCCCCACCTGGCAATTGCCAGGGCAATGGATAAGCCCATAGCTCAGTTCAAGCTCTTCATGGGGAAACGCAGCTTGGCCTGGAAGTGCTCACACCTTTTGTGTTTCAGTGTTAGTCCATAGACAGGTGCCATGTCCACCTTCTTGCCACCACAAACACTGAATTCCAGCCGTTGCAGCAGGATGGACAAGAAGAGGAAGACCTGCCATCTGGCAATGGACTCCCCAATACATTTTCTTTTCCCTAGGCCAAAAGCCAGTACCTTCTCCCCATCTACTTTGTTAACTTCAGTCCCTCCAGCACTGAGGAAGCGCTCTGGATTGAAAGCCAGTGGATCCTTCCAAAGTTTCCTGGAATGGAAAACGTCAGATGCTGAGATGGTGTTTCTCCTGTCCCTGGGAGTAGGGGGGGCACTGGAGGGTGGCAGCTTGGGGAAAGCAGGAGGAGTTGCCAGTTATAATATTCCTGAAGACAGTAATGCCTTACATGCTCCCTTTTCTCTGAAACTTAAAGAAAGTTTACCCCACTTCTGCCCATAAAGGTCATTATATGAGCCCCACTTTTCATCTCTTGATACTTAGACCACACCTCACTTCTCCTTACAGCCTCCTTTGACTCAGCAAGATGCTTCCTGTCTTCTCCAGCTCCCTGCAGTTGGGAATTCACTGTCCCACTGTGTATTACCTTTTCAGGCTTGGACCGGTTCCTGACTATCCCTTGCTCTCCCTATCTGAGAAGAAAAACTGGAGAGCTCCAAATGGGCCAGTATTTTGTGTACCCTTCTCAGGGTTAGGTGACCAGGAAGAGGCCTGTACATTGCTGCAGGAGGCCTTCTGCCTCTTGAGCTACTTACTCATCATGATTCACTTGCCACTGGTTGATAAACACACAGCAATCCTTTGGGACATAGTAGCCATTCAGCACTGTGTCCCTGGTTGTGCTGAAAAGAGAGAAGACTGTGAGAATTTAGAAACCAAAGAGGCTCTTCTGCATCCTCAGGGGACTATTGGTGTGTTCCTTGATGCTGCTGAAGTAGGGATGTGGCCCACAGAGATGGCTTTATGAGAGGCAGTTGCATTTTCCATGAACTGAGTTGCGCAACCCTTTCCTAAGCTGGCTGGAGTATCTTCAACAAAGTCAACGAGGGGTAAGGATTGCTCTATGGGAGTTACCATTACTTATGTAAGAGCTGTGAGCTCCCCCAGCCCATGATGCAGCCATTACTCTATAAATTGATAGTAATCTCACTACCTCTCACTGTACAACTGCCTGGATGATTGCAACATGATGCCTGAGGTTATTACATCAGTAAATCCAGGCTGTCTCTTCATCTCCTTTGCAACCTCAGCACTTGCCTGTGTGGGATAAGGAAGGGCAGGAAGGAAGAGTGCCTGAACATCTCCAGGATAAAGGCTTCTGTGCGCGGCAGCGTGCCTCGGTCAGACAGCCTCGGTCGCCTCTCCTGGCCGATGGTGTGATCTGCGGGTGGTTGAGAGGAAGAAGCTGGTTGGAATCAGCCTTTGGCAGAGACATTTCAGCCCTGGAGGAAACGGACTCATGAACTCACCTATTTCTTCCTGGATCCTCTTCTGGATGTCGGGGTACTTCACAAGATACATGAGACTCCAGGACAGGGCAGTTGTAACAGTGTTAAAGCCTGGTCAGAGAGGAAAGAGCATGTCGATCAGGCCTGCATAACACACAGGGCACGTGTCATGGCTTGCTGGCTAACCAGCATGTGCAGCAGTCTCGGATGACCAAGAAAACGGAAGATATCCTGGTCACACAGTAGGGTTTGGGTTTTTTATCCTGCTTTGCTAAGAAATACCCATGGGCTCCATTCTGCACTCAGTCATCCTGATTCATTCCTGCATTATGTCGGGTTTGTCTTGGCATAAATCCTTTGGAATCAGGGGATTTTCCCCAGAGTAACCCAGAGAGGAATCAGGCCCAGCGTTGCCCCTCTATCTCACGGCTCTAAGGAGCTTCATTTCCCCTGATTGCTTTTTCTTTTCTTTTCTTTTCTTTTCTTTTCTTTTCTTTTCTTTTCTTTTCTTTTCTTTTCTTTTCTTTTCTTTTCTTTTCTTTTCTTTTGCTGCCATTTCCTCCTCTAACAGTAGCCAGGCTTTGATTTCACTGAAATGTGTGAAATCACCTTGATCTGGTTCTGTTAAGAACTGGAGGGGCTAGGAGACACAGAAGAAGGGGCTAGGACACACCCAAGATCATTGTATGAAAGGTTAACAGACATCTCTCTTAGGAAGAGCCATTGTGGTTTGTGAAGTTTTACTGAACCATGAACCATGCCCTTCGCTTTTCCCTGAAGCCCCTACTCCAGAGCTAATTTCCCATGCAGGTCTCTAGGATCGTCTCTGGAAGATCCATCAAAGACCAGAGAAGAGGAGAATCAGTATTCAGACCCAAATTGGCTCTCTGGTGTTGGACAAAGAGGAATCACGGAGCTGTAACATGAGGAGCCTGAGAAAATCTACAGCAGCTGGGGGACCCGTGGGGAAAGTTACCAGCTCCAAAGAGGTCATTCACAAGGTTGACAATTTTTTCCTTAGGGATCTGTGTGACAGTATTTGCTTCAATTTTTTTCTCCACGCACTGCTCAATGAGGGAGTCAGTGATGTCTCGGATGTTGTTCTGAAAGGAAGAGAAGACAATTCATGTCAGCCCAGGAAGCAGAGAACTTGGGCGTTAATGAGCAACAACCTGCTGCTGGAAATTCTCTGCTGTGGGAGCCACAGCAGCACATGGGCTGCAGAGGACATAGTCTTTTCCCATCTTGGTCCAAACTGTTTTTCCAAGCTATGAAAATGAGGAGATGGACAGCTGTGGCTTGAAATTGCAAAATACCACAATAGCTTTCTTGGTAAATAGAAGAGAGATGACTCTCTGCCAGCCTAAGGAGAGGAACTGCTTATTAGGGGAATGTGACCTCAGAGGGTCTTATGAGGATCCCTTTGAAAAGACCCACAGGTTTAGTTCTCAGAGGTGACAAACGTTCCTTTGCTGATGTGGGGAACTGCAGCATCAGTTTCGGTAAACTGACACATTTGGCTTTTTCAGATCCATGTTGAAATGAGTGAGCTAGTAACTTTTCAGTCTTTCTTGATTTGTATCTTCTCCAAGTCCTCCCAAAGGCAGAGTGCCCCACGGAATAAAGAATATCAGCCTCCTGGCACTAGAGCTTACTTAGTAATCTTTAATAAACTCTTTCACAAGGGTCCTTCAATGGTTCATGGGTCACAGACCGTAAACCCATCCTAGCTAATGTGCTTGAGGAGCACTGCTGGACAGAGCTGATGCTGATCGACACCTGGTACAGACTTGATCAGAGAGTCCTGAGACAGAAGGGCAGTGCCTTTTAGCAGAGCTCCACAGCCTGGTCTTGGTGCTCCAAGGCACACATGGCAGGTGATTCTGTTGACAGGTCAGAAGTCAGACCAGCAAACTGCCCCTGTCACTCAGGGCCATGGAGGAGAAGGACTGCAGTGCTCGATTGCACATGCATGAGATTGCAGGTGAGTGAGATTACAGCTAGACAGGGAAGCCTGAAAAGTTCTTACTAAGTGCAGCAATATCTGCAAGAACTTAGATGTCCACGGATTTAGCATGGCCCCAGGTGATTGCCAGTGGAAAAACAACTCACTAATGCAAAATGGCAGAGGGTGGAAACTCAGCCCTGGTGTAGTGAGGGTCTTGCAAGCTCTTACCTTGTCATAGGTCTCGTAGTGCTCTTTGACAATTTTCTGCTGGAAACGAATGAATCGTTTATTGAAATCTTTAAATAAATTCATGGCACGGCTGGGAAGATACTGGAGCACAGGGATGAAGTCAGTAGGGTTGCCAGCAGCAGCCACTTCCTCGAACTGATGGCTTTCATTCACTATACTGAGCAGCTCTTGGTCGTTGTGGTCGTAACGCCTGCCAAAGCACATGGCACAGATGACGTTGGCCACAGAGATCACCAGGTACCGGTAAGGGTCAAAGCTCTTCTCCTCTTCCATCACCTGCAGGAACTTGGTGACCAGGTAGTCGGCCTCCTTGGAGACGTGCTCCTCCAGGAGGCAGGTGGAAGAGGAGGTCAGGCTGGGGGCGATGGAGAAGGTCTTCAGGGCGTTCTGGGCCAGCTTTCTGCGGGCTTTCCACACCTCCCCTGAGTCTGGGCTGAAGGTAAGGCTCTGGCCATCTGTGACATGGCGGAAGCTGTGGAGATCAGGGCGCCCCATGAAGTCTTCTCCTTGCTTCACCAGGGCTTGCTTGATGGTGTCGAGCCCGCTCAGCACCAGCACGGGCCGGCTGCCGATCCTGATCTCCATCACGTCCCCATACTTCTGGCTCAGCTTGGTCAGGGCCAGGTGCGGGTCCTTCCTCAGCTCCAGCACGTTGCCGAGGATGGGGTAGCCTCTTGGTCCTGGGGGTCTCTTCAGCCCCTTGGGGACGTGCTGCCTGAAGGACTGGATGAGCAGGAAGACCAGGCAGAAGACAGCAGCCACAATGAGGATCTCGGTGGCCGAGATAATGCCTTGGCTTCCCCCCAGCGACATTGCAGCCTTCGTTGCCACTGGCGTTTAGAAATCCTAAAGTTAACCAGAAGGGTGGCATAGAGCCAGAGTTAGTGAAAGGTAGGGTCCAGCAGATGTCTATAGCTCCTGAGGCTGAGAATAGGCACCAAGTGCCATTAAACAGTTAAGGGTGAGTAAGCAAACTGGTTTGAATTAAAATCTGTGTGTAATGTAGCCAAAACTCGTGTTGTCTTATGTTCTTTCTCTAAGATGAAAAGATGTGTCTATATACAAATCACTGTCCTTTCCTTGCCCTTATCAAATGTTCCTTTATAAAGTGACTTGGCGGTATAACTGCCTTCAGCTCCTGCAGAAGCCTCAGCTCTAGGTCTGTGGTGTGGACCTTTCCCAGGCGGTGCTGGACACACTCACCCTTCCTCTCTGCATTTTTCAGAAAGAGGCGTGACGGCCGAGCCTGGGCAATGGCTTCTGTTTTCGGTCTCTGTCACCGTGGCTGGGCTGGTTCAAACCTGAACTCAGGACTCGATGGGGAGGACTGATGGCTGAGCCCTTGCTCTGCCCTTGCCCTACTTTGCCTGCCTCAGTTTCCCTCCAGGGCTTGTACAGTGCTCTGGGACTTTTAAGGGGCAAAAAACTGGAGGTGTATAAGGATTCCATGTATAAGGTGGAGGTGTATAAGGTCACTCATGGGGGACCTCAGCTCCTCTGAAGCCTATGATTTACTCTTCCCCTGCAGCCTGCTAGGGACAAGGAAGAATGAACCCTGCCATACCTTTCAGTCAGGGGATCTGTTATGCTGTTTAATTTAGCAAATCTTTTTTTCAGGGATTTTCTTAGGCTCAGCAAGCTCTGTATTACTCTCAGGGCCTCACCTCCTAGTGGACCCCAGGCTCCCAGCACTTACTGGAACAGCCACAGCTCCTGCCCAGAGGAGACGACGTTTGAAACATGGAACAGAAAACTGCATCCCAAAAAGCACAAGGAGGGAGGATGAGAGAAACGGTAACTCCTCAGAGAAGCTGGTCCCTTGTCCAGCAAAGTCGTATCTTTGGGAGGGGGTAAACAGCCAAGCAAACAGCCAAGCGACCAAACTGGGGGCACCCAGGCTCTTGCTGAGGGGAAGCAGTCAGCTTGTACCTGCAAGTCCTTTCGGTGGAGTGGGCTGGTTTTACTGCCTGTGGCTCGGAGCAGCGTGCCTGCCTACCTGTCCTGCAGAGCAGACCGGCTCCTCTTCTCCTGCCACTTGGATCTGTCCGTACTGCAGCCTGGAAGAGCACGGCTTTATAAGCACATCCCTTATCACCTGGCTGAGCGCTTGTCCCCCTCATTGGAGGACACAGGTTAGGAAACAACGGAAGAAAAGCTATCCATTAACAAACGAGGCCGATTCTGGCTGGAGCCAGCCCAGGAAACCGGGGCAGATATTTCCCCAGCTCCAACAGCTGTGGGAGATGAACAGTGGTTTCCCCAGCCACCTGGGGCATGTCCCCCCACAGAGCCTAGGACGTGGAGGCAGAAGGCAGTGGTTGTGGCACTGCCCTGGGGAGGAACGGGAGTACGCTCTCACCTCGCCGCCCTGTGGGACGTGGCTACTAGGCCTTCTGTGGGCACTTCCCCAAAGACCTTTCCTGGGGTGAAAAGACTCTTTCCTGGAGAGAAACAGCCCATAGACAAGGCTGTTACCTCCAAACCCGCTCTGAAGGCACTTGGAGGTGCAGACAAAGCTGCTCAGATGGAAACCGAGGGCGGAGAGGAGACAGACGAACTGGGGGAGGTCTGCAGACGGGCAGGAGTGCAATGCAACATCTCCCACCCCAGCTCTTCTCCCTGCCATCCCTCCTTCCCCTCCTAGGGCACTTGCCAGCAGGATCAGGTTAACGATTGTCCAGGTTTGCGTGAGAAGCTGCCTGCTGAATTACACCACTCGCCAGACCCTGCGGCCAAATCAAGAGGATCTGGGAACAGAGAGAACTGAGCAGGGAGGAAAGTTCAAGGAAAGCGGGGAGGGGGGCAATGGAGGGGGAGAAGGAGGCAGGGGAAAGGGCAACACGCGGAGCCCCTCCTGCCCGGTGCCCCGCGAGGACGTTGCTGGGCAGAGGGGTACGGCTCCCTCTGGATCTGCTGCGCGGCCTCACAAGCTGATGCCAGCTCTCCTGAGACCGCTCTCAGGCTGAGTGCAAACCCACTGCAGACCCAAGAGCATGCATTGCTTGGGACACCAGCAGTTCCTCTTCAGCCCAAGAAAATAAGCTCCCTGAGGACTCTCTGACTCCAAAAAGGCTAATTTTCAGCCCTGATGTCCCCCTGAAGCTGGTGCATCTCTGAGCCACAGGAACGATGCAGTGTGAGATCTTTCTTGCTTAGGGATAAATCTCTAGAAGTTGGTGCCCAGAATTCAGAGGAGTTTCTAACCCAGGGAAGAGCTGTATGGGACGCAGAATCAGGGGGCAATGTGCCATCCTGGGGGGATGACTTACTTGAGGTGGGGAGTCCAGTGGCCCTGCTCAAGCCCAGTTTCTCCAGGCATCAGGTATATCCATTTTGATCTAAGATACTCCACAGCAAATTTCCCAGAGGTGTCTCCTGAAATCATTGGGTGCTTGAGGCCAGCTGTGTTGAGCTGGTCCCATTGATGAAGGCGGGTTTGATCTTCCCTGTGGGAGCAGGGACCATGGTCCAATGCACAAGTCCAAACATGCCCAACCAGTCCCTCGCTTCTGCCTGGGAAAGAAACTGAGCGTACAGGACCAAGACATCTCCGGAAGTCCGTGCCATCAAATTCTTAGATGGTGGCAGGATATTTGGGTGGCATTTTCCTCCACGCTTCCCTTGCTCTCTCCTTCTCTCTCTGTTTCCCATAGGGAACACAAACGACACAAGCCCAAGGACCCAAGAGGACAAATACCCTGACTCCTGCAGTGGCTGGTGGTGGATGCCGTTAAAGGAGCTGGAAGAACGGCCGACACGTAATGCAGTAGAGCACATATCTAAGCCTCTGCCATTTGCACCCGTATTTTCTCCGTAGCTCAGACAGCGGCAAAGCAAAAGTTTCCCCTGCTTCCATGCGCCCTGACTGCTACCCAGCTCTTCCCTTGGCTGCAGCTGAACTCCTCAGCTTTCCTGGCGCAGGTCTTGATGCAGGTCTTGGAGCAAGGCACGCTCTTTTAAAAGCTATTGGAAGGAGTTCAGTCCCGGCAGGACTTGCTGCTGCTCTCACTGATATTAGCAGGAGCTTTGCTATGAAGACATGGGGCAATAGGGAGAGTTGTCTCTTTTCTTGCGAGGGGCTCGCTCCGTTCCCCATGCTGGGCTGTGATTTTCTGAACCAGTGGAGCCCAGAGAAGCTCCCTGAGCTCACAGAGGTGGAAGTCTTAGAAAACTAAGCAGTAGCAGTGAAGACTCAGGAAGCATCGGCAGTACAGGGAGGGATTCAACCAGATCATTTGGGCCAGATGGAGCCTGTTAGCTGCCAAGCCACCTCGCTCCTGTGTCTCCTGTTTCGGACTCCATCTGGCTCTTGTGAATGACCCTGGGCTAAGTTTTAGCAAATGAAAATCACACCTCCCACACGGATCCCAGATTTCCACCTTGCCCTAAGTCCTTCCTCCAACTAGGCAGTGCTTCCTGTGATGGTTTATGGACCTGGTTACTTAAAATGAGGTTGTGGCCACCCAGGGATGTGGTGGGAGATCCCACTGTGAAGAGAACTAAAGAGGTTAAAGAGCCTTTTTTGGCTTTCTGCCTTCAAAGCCTACCCGAAGGTAAAGAAACGTGGCAGAAATAAACTCTGCAGGTAAAGGGAGGGCAGGGAAATCTAAAGGGGAGCTGTTCTGGGATTCCTAGGTTTCTCCAGCACCAGCTTCCCTGCACCGTGATTTGGAGCACTGGTATCAAAGACTACAAAAACCGCTCTCACACATGAGCTCGGCTTATTTGCCTTTTCCAATGCCTGCTGCCGCAAGGGACCAGCCTCGCCGACCAAGCCTACTGTCGGAGTGGCCCGGACGGAGGAGGCCTGGCCTAGCCACCGCTCCTCGCACGCGGTGCCCTTGCCCAAGTCTTTCCTTGCTCTGCTGCGTCCCTTGGAGCCGGGGCCAGGGCTGCCCCGGCACGGGAGCTGCTGGGGCACCGGGAGTTTGCACGCAGCGGAAGGATGCAATCTCTTTTGCTTCCTCTTCGCTCCTTACTGGCTTCTGCTTTGCTTCTTCGGCTGCTTCTGAGCGCTGAGGGGGTGCGCTCACAGGAGGACGGCTGGGGCTGCTGCC